AAAAAAGAGAGAGAGAGAGACAGAAGAATCAAATAGATGCAATAAAAATGATAAAGGGGATATCACCACTTATTCCACAGAAATACAAACTACCATCAGAGATTACTATAAACTACCATCAGAGATTACTACAAACAACTCTATACACATAAACCAGTAAACCTAGAAGAAATGGATAAATTCCTAGACACTTGTACCCTCCCAAGTCTAAACCAGGAAGAAGTCGAAACCCTGAACAGACCAATAATAAGGGCTGAAGTTGAGGCATCGTTAATAGCCTACCAACCAAAAAAAGCCCAGGTCCAGATGGGTTCACAGCCGAATTCTACCAGACATACAAAGAGGAGCTGGTACCACTCCTTCTGAAACTATTCCAAACAATCCAAAAAGAGAGAATCCTTCCCAAATCATTTTATGAGACCCACATCATCCTGATACCAAAACCTGGCAGAGACTCAACAAGAAAAGAAAGCTTCAGGCCAATATCCATGATGAACATAGATGCAAAAATCTTCAATAAAATACTGGCAAACCAATTGCAACAGCACATCAAAAAACTTATCCATCATGATCAAGTAGGGATGCAAAGGAGGAAGTCAAATTGTCTCTATTTGCAGATGACAGGACTGTATATTTAGGAGACCCCATCGTCTCACCCCCAAATCTCCTGAAACTGATAAGCAACTTCAGCAAAGTCTCAGGATACAAAATCAATATGCAGAAATCACAAGCGTTACTATACACCAATAACAGACTTAGAGAGAGCCAAATCAAGAACGAACTGCCATTTGCAATTGCTACAAAGAGAATAAAATACCTAGGAATACAACTAACAAAGGATGTAAAGGACCTCTTCAAGAAGAACTACAAACCACTGTTCAAGGAAGTAAGAGAGGACACAAACAGATGAAAAAACATTCCATGTCATGGTTAGGAAGGATAATATTGTAAAAATGGCCATACTGCCCAAAGTAATTTATAGATTCAATGCTATCCCCATCAAGCTACCTATGACTCTCTTCACAGAACTGGAAAAAACCAACTTAAACTTCATATGGAACCAAAAGAGAGCCCACATAGCCAAGTCAACTCTAAGCAAAAAGAACAAAGCTGGAGGCATCACACTACTGGACTTCAAACTATACTACAAGGCTACAGTAATCAAAACAGCATGGTACTGGTACCAAAACAGAGATATAAACCAATGGAACAGAACAGAGGCCTCAGAAGCAATGCCACACATCTACAACCATCTGATCTTTGACAAATCTGACAAAAATAAGCAATGGGGAAAGGATTCCCTGTTTAATAAATGGTGTTGGGAAAACTGGCTGGCCATGTGCAGAAAGCAGAAACTGGACCCCTTCCTGACACCTTACACTAAAATTGACTCCAGATGGATTAAAGACTTAAACATAAGACCTAACACCATAAAAACCTGAGAAGAAAACCTAGGCAAAACCATTCAGGACATAGGCGTAGGCAAGGACTTCATGACTAAAACACCAAAAGCATTGGCAACAAAAGCCAAAATAGACAAATGGGATCTAATTAAACTCCAGAGCTTCTGCACAGCAAAAGAAACAATCATTAGAGTGAACCAGCAACCAACAGAATGGGAAAGAATTTTTGCAATCTACCCATCTGACAAAGGGCTAATCTCCAGAATCTACAAAGAACTAAAATAGATTTACAAAAAAAAAAAAAAAGAAACAAATAAATCCATTCAAAAGTGGGCGAAGTATACGAACAGACACTTTTCAAAAGAAGACATATATGAGGCCAACAAACATGAAAAAATGCTCATCACCGGTCATTAGAGAAATGCAAATCAAAACCACATTGAGATACCATATCATGCCAGTTAGAATGGCAATCATTAAAAAATCTGGAGACGACAGATGCTGGAGAGGATGTGGAAAAATACGAACACTTTTACACTGTTGGTGTGAGTGTAAATTAGTTCAACCGTTGTGGAAGACAGTGTGGCAATTCCTCAAGGACCTAGAAACAGAAATTCCATTTGACCCAGCAATCCCATTACTGGGTATATATCCAAAGGATTATAAATCATTCTATTATAAAGACACATGCACACGTATGTTCATTGCAGCACTGTTTATAATAGCAAAGACCTGGAACCAACCCAAATGCTCATCGATGATAGACTGGACAAGGAAAATGTGGCATGTATACACCACGGAATACTATGCAGCCATCCTCTGTAGGGACATGGATGAATCTGGAAACCATCATTCTCAGCAAACTGACACAAGAACAGAAAATCAAACACTGCATGTTTTCCCTCATAGGCGGGTGTTGAACAATGAGAAAGCATGGACACAGGGAGGGCAGCATCACACACTGGGGTCTGTTGAGGGGAATAGGGGATGGACAGTGAAGGGTAGGGAGTTGGGGAGGGATAACATGGGGAGAAATGACCGATACAGGTGACGGGGATGGAGGCAGCAAACCACATCACCATGTATGTACCTATGCAACAGTCCTGCAAGTTCTGCACATGTACCCCAGAACCTAAAGTGCAATAAAATATATATATTTTTAAAAAGAATTATATTCAATACAAATCACTTTTGAAAGAAAAAATAGTTGTAGCCTTGCCATGCTACACTCACATTTGCCAATACATGAAACTGACCCATTAGTACTCTGCTGGATCAGCCTGCCCAGGCACTGCTGCCTGCAGGGGCTGCTGTCGTCTTCTGGCTGCTCCTCCAAAGATGGACAATGGGTTTTGCTTAGGGCTACCACTGTTGCTTCTGGCTGGGGCCACCATGTTGCTGAGGCTTCAGGCACAGGGCCCTACCTCCTTCCCCACGCCGCCCTCCCAGTAGCTACCTTAGGGCTATCAGCTCCTGTTGGACCTGGAGCTGCTCTGGCCTCCTGTGTGTGGTAGGCGAGCTTACGTGCTGTGCTCTTAGAGAGTGGCCCTCAGAGCTACTGAGGGCCCCCAGACACACACAGTGTGATCAGTGTGGAGGAGGCCAGGATGCTCTTCCTCTTAATGTAAGCTGAGGCGGCGGCAGCCTTGTTTAGGTCTCCACACCTTGTCCCAAGGGATCACCTTGAGTTGGCTGCCAACCAAAACCCTTGTCTTCCTGTCATACAGATGGGCAATTACATTTATTCAATGTACAAATATACATAAAACTCTCTAGAAACTACAGAATTACCATTGCTTGTGTATCATCTTAGAACTTTTATACAGACGAGATCATCCTTTCCAACGTTTTTGCCCTGATCTGCTTCTTTATGATAACTATCAAGTGTTGAGCAACAGGACCCCCTGAGAGTCACAGAAGCTTCCAAGGTTTGTTTTTATCATGAACCATGCTGCAGTGAACATTCTTAAACACATCTTTGAGCACATGTGTAAGCACATCCTTAGGACAGATTCCCCAAAGTCAGATGGGTGAGTCAAGGGGATCAACTGCAACTGATGTGGAGCCTCATGTTTGTTCTTGTTTTGGTCTTGTCCTGTTGTTTTAGTTTGTTGAGGACTAATTCTGAGAATTTGCTAATTCTGCTTCTAGCTTCTTATGATCTATAATTTCAATCAGCTTCTCATATTTGTCCTCATCTGTGTTACAGATGAAAATCCTGAATAGGACCGAGCACAGAGCCTCAGAGCTGTCACTAGAGACCTCCCTCCAGCTTCCAGAACCACTTGGAAGGACCAAGAAGTCTGTGAGCATGCTGTGCAGCACCATGAAGTCCCCACCCTCCTGGACCCAAATGCCTGGTATGAACTTGCCTTTGCTGAGGTCCCCCAGAGCTGCTGTCTGCAAGGGGCCTCTGCAAAGGCAAGTCTACTCCCAGTCACTAAGTCTACTGCCAGTCACTACCCCTAACTGTCCTTCTTGAACCACCACCCTCTATGCCAAGGGAGGGCTAGGAGTATGGCATAGGAGAGGTGGAGAGAATTCCTGCTTCCCCTGCTAGGAGACGACTCCTGCTTCCCCTGCTCCTCCTCTGACTGCTCCCTGGTGAACACACATGTGGACACTTAGGGATAGGAGCATCAGTGCTGCCCACCGGACCCCCAGGGAGCAGAAAGCTTCAGCCCACCGTCATCTGCTGCTGAGGACTGAGGCAGCCATTTCTCTCGCAAGCCTGGACAGCTGGGGCTGTGCTTCCAGTCTTTTGCTTAAATGCAGAGGTTACCAGGGAAGTGGAGGCAGGAGAGGTAGGAGGGCTCAGGGGAAACAAGTACAGAATCAGAGGAATCAGGCAGACTTGGGTTTGATCCCAGCTCCACTGCTCACTAATGTGGGACCTTAAATGTGTGTCTGCCCCTTTCTGAGCCTCAGGATCCTCAGCATAAAATGGAGACAGTAAGAGAATCTACCTCACAGGGATGTTGGGAGAATTCAGCCAATTCCTGCATGTAAAGCATTTCGCATAACACCCTTCAAGGGACATCTAGGGGCGACCAGGAGGGGGTCATACCATCAGTCAGGCCCAGCAGGCCAGAGGGGGCCCACCTCAATACAGATCCCATGGGTTCAAACACACTGAGAAGCTAGGGACCCCCCTTCACCAGCAGCCTTCCCTGCCCATGGCTGGCTGTCAATGAGTTAGCTAGCAGCATTATTCCCAAGGGTTGTGGGGCAGGGAGGCCCTTTACTGAGTCTGGAGGATTCCCATGAAGTCAACTCTTGGCAGGGATGACCTAAATAGATGCTAGAAGCTGATATTACAGCTGCACATAACAATCCCTCAGTGGGTGTTTCTGTGGCATTTCCTATTGTGGGAAAGACAAAGGAACCAGATTCAATGTTCTGGTCTGGAGTTGGGCTTAGTTCTAAGCTAAGCAAGAGGGTGCCTTGTCTCAAGGGAAGATGCTCATCAGAAGAGGGTATCTCAGAGTGTGGCTAATGGGCTCTGAAGGAAGAAGGGAACCCTGTTTTCTAAGGACCCTTAGTTCCAAGGGTGGGAGAGGATATTTCAGGTGACAAGCAAGATTTTGGTGACTTTACCTGAGGCCTGTTGCTTTTACATGCATCATCCAAATGCTTGTGCCACAGTATTGCATGAAATCGGGAACCAGTTTGAAACTTGTAAACATTGCCTGATGGGTAGAGAAACCATGGGTTAAGAAGAGGGCCACATAGGCGGGTCAGCTGGTGACTGTAGCATAAAGAGAAATGTAAACACGGGTAACTAAACTAGGAAGGTCGGCCCCAGGTGAGCTGGAACATGCAGAGAAAGCAGCCTCCTGGGCTCCCTCCAGCTGTCCCTTTGGACCATGGCTTTTAAGCATTTTGAGGCCATGGTTCCTTTGGCTGTCTGGTTAAGCCTGTGGACCATTTTCAGAATAATGTTTCAAATGTATAGATACAAAGGAAATCGATAATACTCAAATACAGTTATTAAACTACTAGAAAACAAATCAGCAGTAAACTTCTATAGGTGCTTCTATATTAAATCACTAAGAACAAGATCTAGTACAGGTTTGATACTGCACTGTAATTTCAAAGAGATGAGCATACAGGACATTTTGAAATGTCTGTAACAATATGTGATTTGAAATATCTGATTTCTCTTCGAGATAAAATCACAGGTATTGCTAACAGTTTTGTTGTCGGATGCTTATACTCATAACTGAAGGAGTCAGAAGGCTCTGAAAACAAAGACATATTTTCTTTCCGCCCAAGTTCACAGACCTCTTGAATTCTATCCATGGACCCTGGCCACCCCTTGTGTCACATTTCATTAAAAAAACACTGCTAATCCAGTCCAGACTGTTGAGAGAGAAACAAACTCAAATGGTAACCAAACTTAGGACACCCTGCCACATGTGTGCAACAAATGTGGCTTCAGTCACTTAGACACGGAGCAGAGAACTTGGCAATTTCTCTCTTCCCCACTCCGGGTTCTTTGAGGCTCCCTTTGTTTCTCTGCTTCTCAGCTAAGAACATTAGAGCCTGACACTCAAGGCATGGTCTCTCCACCAGCACTGGCATCTGCATTGCCTGGGAGCTTGTTGGAAATCTTGGTCTCTACCCCAGATCTACTGAATCCAAATCTGAATTTTAACCAGATCCCCAGGATATTTGTGTGTTCATGAACCCTATAGTAAAACATTCCTGTTAAGGTATGAAAATGCTTGGGGATTTTCCAGCTCCAATCACTTTGCCTGGTTGGAATCTAATTGACCCAGGCACTTTTGGGTTTTTGTCATGTGACATGGGTTACTGAGGAGATTTGCTATAGTCTGTTCTGAATGTTGATGAAGACAGGGCTGCTGGAGAGGATGGCATCCAGAATCTCTCCTTCCCAGCATGATCATGAAGCAGGAACCAGGAGGAACTGGGAGGTAGCTAGAGAAGGTAAAGTTAGAGCTTTGGGAAGTTAAAAGGGTTCTTCTCTGGGTTGGCTTTCAACCTGGACACTGCCAGAGTCTCATGGCACATGCATGTCAGGGGGTCCCTGAAATCTCCCCAGAGCCAAGACCCTTCCAGCCTCATAGTCCTGCCTCATCCAACCTTACTGTTTATTCCAAGACCATGAGGCTACAGTTCCTGGAGTGCTGGGCCCCAGAGGCCATAGGTAATCTGCAAAAAGGATTCTAGCACCCTGTGCCTTGTACCCTGCTCCATGGACACACCAACCATGATCTACATAGTTTTTGTGGACTAGCATGGACCCTATGAACATCAGAATCTAAAGAAAAGGAAAGGCAGCAGCCTCAAAAGATCCTAATAACTTGAAAATGCACGGAGAGGAAATGGGCAGAGTAGCAGCTGCAGGCGCCGGCTCTGGCCAGTTGCCTACCTTTGTCAGGGTTGTTCAGCTGGAAGATATCTGGGTGCTCAGGGTCATCAGGCAGCTGCACCATCCAGCCCACGATGGAAACCTTTTTGCCAGGTGTGGATTTATACTGGAGGAGAGCAACAACATAGCCGGAGGCCCGGGCCCAGCCCTCCACTCTACAGGAGAGGCCGACCTGGGCCAGGCAGGCTCCTTCCCTCCCCTGCCACCTTCCCACTCCCATACTCCTCAATTCACTTGATCCCTTTCCCACTCCCATCCTCCACAGTTCACAGAGGTCCCTTTCCCACTAGACAAAGTCCCAGCATGAGAGTCCTTTCAAGGGACTTACGTGTTTTCTGTCTGTGCCCCGCAAGGACTTGGCTCCATAGTACAGGAGGGTGGATCCTGAGAGTATGACCCAGTACCTGGTCCACGAGGACAGCTACAGAGGAAGGGGAAGCTGAGTGATGCCACCAGGGGTGGTGGGGGGTAGAGGCCCCCTGGCCCTGTGATTCCAGACCCAGCCACCCCATCAATGCCAGTACAGGCTCCTGGCCCTCCATCACCCCCTGGCAATGCCAGCTTCTACCTAGGACCAAGATGGGAGGTGTCTTTCGTCCCCTCTCTTACTCCTTTACTCAGGGAGCCTTTGCTTTGTTCATTTCAAGGCAGTGCCAGGCATAATTTCTGAGAGTTCGGCTCGCTGCACACTCACTGCAAGCAGGGCCTCTGCCACACATGTGACTTTCTTGCTGAGACCTCTAGGAGTGGGCACTATTTACAGATGTGGAAACTCAGTGGCCCAGGCAGGGCTGCAGTCTTTGGATCCAGGTCCTTCACTGCTGCCCTTGCTGCCCCAGGTGGATGTGGGTCTGCACTTACTGCAGGCTTCCGCCCTTCCTTGAGCAGGGTTTTTCTTCTCAGAGGCCCTTCCATGGTGGGCACAGCTGCCGAGTTCCCCAGAGAACAGATGCACGGGCCAGTGGGGCTGAGAAGAGACCATCAGTCAGATATTGCCCTGGAGGAGCTGAGGTCAAGGACCCTCTCACTCACTGGGGACCACAGGTGCCCCACTGCCAAGTCTGTGACGTCCCAGCAATCCAGAGGACTCAACAGCGCAGCGCAAGGCCTGGAGGAGAGGGCCAGGTGATGATGCACATGAAAGACCCCACCGCCAAGGACTCCCACACCTGTCTCTCTGGGGCTACAAAGCTTCAGGTTTGGTGACCAAGTTCCTCATAATCCAGACCCCGATCAGCACCCCCACCTTATCCTGAAGGATGCTTTTGTCACAGCTGCAGCCTGGCCACTCCCCGGGGCTGGTGTGGGCTCCTCCACACCTGAGGAGCTAGTGCCTACACAGCCCCAGCTGCAGCAGCCCCTCCTTCTGGTGTTGGCAGGAGCTTTGGAGGAGCAGTGAGGTATGGAAGAGGCAGTATGGAGTGGCAGAGGGACACGAGCCCACACGCACCATTCCCCACACCTTTCCCAGGCTCTTCTCTCATCCTCTCCCTTGGAGACTCAAGCACCATCTACAGATCAAGGCATCCAAGGGCATGGCAGCCCAGACCTCCCTCCTGAGCACCAGATCTGCCCATGCCCCATGAATGGCACCATCCACTACTGGCCACTTCAGCCAGAAAGCTGGGGTTTTCTTCTCTCTCTGATGCCCCTGCAACCTAATCAATCCCAAGGATGCACTGGGGATCAGATACTAAATATGCCTGACCATGTATCTTAGCCATCCTACCACACCTTAGGCCACGGCGCCTTCCTTCCAGCCACTGCTGAGTGCGCTTCACTGGCCTTCCTGGGTCCACACTGGCCAATGCCTCCACCCTCCCTCTCTCTGCTCCTCCACCACTCACAGCATGCCCCTTTCATGGCTCCCTGTTGCTTTTAAAATCTGAGCCACCATCCTCACCCCTGCTGGATGCAGCTGCAGCTCATCTCATGTCCCTGCCCTCTCTCATTCCTTCGAACACTGCCTTTCCTTCACTCTAATCATCCGCTCTTCCTGTCTCACAGTCCACAGCTGTCCCTTTGCTGGGAGCACTCTCATTGCCCTAACTGTCCACTCCCAATTATTTGGTGAATTCCTATCATTCTTCCGGTCTCTTCTTCAGGGAGGCCTTCCCTGATCTCCCCAACCAAGCGTGTTTCTGCTCCTCTCCCTGAGTGCCCCTTACCTCCTCTAGGACAGTCTATGCACCTGGAAGTAGCCTCATGGAAGCAAAGGCTGTGTCTGTTTCTTTTGGCAGCCTCTAGCACAGTGCTTGGCATCCAGCAGGCCACATAACAAGCTATGTGTTGAACAAATGAACACATGAACACATGAATACCTGTAGACACAGCTCCGGGTTCTAGGAGAATTCCGAACTGGAACCCGCCAGTTGGGCCCCAGGGTAGCATAGAGACGTCCCCTGCTACAGAGGAAAAGGGTTAAATTTTAGCAACAGCTTTGAAAGACCAGATGCTCCTGAAGGAGGCAAGAGCACCCTGGACTACATGGTCAATTAGCCCAGGAAGCCCCACAGAGCAACCTCCCTCCCGGCCTCCTCGGCCACACTGCAAGCACACCTGGAGTTGCCAGGCCACTAAACACAGCACCCCTCAGAGTCCCCAAGTCCCCAGTTAATTCTTTCAACTTTTAATTGAGTGTTCACCATTTTTCCAGGGTCAAGAGCATGACTAAAATCCAGGCACGCCCACTTGCCTCAGCCTAGGGCTGAGATGTTTCAAAGCACTGTAGAGCCCAGACAGTCCATGGCAAGTCCACGTTAACAGTGCACACAGAATTGTGGGCAACCTTGCAGGTTGGGCCTGGGTGTCATTCACCAGGATGCAACTGGAGCCTTCTATGTGCTACATCCTCTGCACTGGACAGTCTCCTCTGTGGCTCTAGCCAGGTCTCTGCAAACTTGCTTTGTGACCTGCTGCAGCATCCAGGAGTTCACACTCAGGGTTACTCTGTGGGCAGCCCTCTGGCTTTCTTTTTGCCTGCGCTCCCCGGCAGTGAGCCTTTCTGGGGCAACGTGCAGCTTCCTGCTCAGCCTCTTTGCATGGAGGCACCCTCTTTCTCCTTTACCCTCTCCTGTCTTAGAAGACTCACTTCCTGTATCCATTTGATGTTCCAACCTTTCTCCCACCCTTGAAGCATGGCCTATTCTCTGACCACAGCTCTTCTTGCCCATTGGCTAGAATACAATGTAGTCAACTTAATAAAGTCAGATGAGGCCCAGAGTTCCTTTGTAAGATCCCCTCAGTCCTCCATGGTCAGCCGTACATTGCTGCACGTCGCTCTGTGACATTGGCACCTGTGGGTGGTGTGGGGCTGCCCTCATGCATTGAAGCAGGTGCATCATACCTGCCCAAGGGCCTCTGCCCTCCCTCCAGGAAGGAGCTCTTCTTAATGACCATCTTGGGTCCACTGTCCAGGGACCCAATTTCAGGGCTGGCGGGAGTCTGACGGTTAGCTGGGACAGCTGTTCTTGGCCCCCCAAGTCTCCTGTCCATCGGCTCTTCCTCTCTGGATGACGGCGTATCATAGCATGAGCTTGGCTCCCCAGTCCTCTAACATAACTGGTGTCAGGGTGGTCATAGGCTGACCCTATCCCCACCCTTACTGAGCTGTGGCACAGAGGAGGGAGGCCCTGGTGTGCCCAATTCCCTGGCCACTGGCCCAATGGCACCTCCCTCCCAGAAAGAGGGGTGGAGTACAGTGAATGAATATGACCCACGCAGATAACCGTGAATCTCTCATTTTGGACAAGCGAAACAGTCCCCAAAGTCACTCTTCCTGGCACCACATACTGAGCACCTCACAGGTGAGTGTACTAGCATGGCAGGTCCCAAGCCTGTGTGGAAGCCGTGCTGCTCAGGGGAACCAGCCATGGCTGCCTCCAGGGCTGCTCTTCTTCCAGCCATCACCAGGGTTTCTTCTGAGCAGGGTCTGACAATGGCTTTTCTGCAGTGAGATTCTTTGTGGCTTTGTCTGCTACCCAGGGACGTTTCCTCCTTATCTGAGCTGGATTCCAGCTCTGAGCTGCCACCTGTTTGGAGTTGAGGATAGAGTCCCCCTTCCCAGAGCCAGGCCCTCTGGCCCCTTTGCCACTTTTCTTCTGAGTCTTTTCCCCTGTTACCTGAGGAGAATATGTGATGGCAGCGGACTGTCCACAGTTCCCACAGTACCTCAGACAGGGTACAGGGGCCAGTGCAGCTACCTTCTTCCTGTCATTCTCTCCCTTTACATGAGACAGTACATGGCTTTGTATTTTACAGATGTTTGATGGAATGATATCTTTGATGGAGAGCTTGAAACGAGCATCTTCCAGGCAGGTTAGCCTTGTAAGGGGCCTTTCCTCATGTCCTCCCTAAAGGGGTGAAGAGTGGACTGGCGGGGAGCACAAGGACACCAGGGACCACCGGGTAGCTCTCAACAGACCAAGCAGACACTAGGCAGTGGGCGCTCACATGCTCTGATGCCCCTGCAACCTGATCACGTGCACTCATGCTGTCACTGAGGCTTTGTGTAAAGCACCCTTACCCTCCCCACAATGAGGAAACTGAGGCTCAGTGATGTGAATCTACTTGACCAAGGCATGAGCCTTGTAAGCTAGGACTTGAACCCAGGACTGTCTGACTCTACAGCCCAAGCTCCTCACCACACTGTGACATGCAGACTTTCAGGATAGAGGGAGAAGCAGCACCATCAAACATGGTGGGCTCTGTCACATGGACTGAGTCCACGTGGGGACCCTTCTAGCATTGCACTCTCTGAGGTACGTCTACTTGTGGGTCCCCACCTGCACTCACGCTGCCTGGGATTTGTCAGTGTCTGAGACAGAATGACCACAAGATTCCTAGGCCTGGGAATCTCCCAGGATGGGGCCACCTCCCAGGTCTCCTGGTCCCTTGGTGGCCCACTGGAGCAGTCTCCTGGCAGTTTTGGCTGCCTGGTGCTGAAGAGCAGCTGCCTCTTCTCAACTGCATACCACGTGCCAACTACATACTTTCACACACCAGCACGCCCAGCTTTGTGAGGGGGCCATGTTCTCATAGTTTTAGATGAGGAAACTGAAACTCAAGGAAGCGAAGCCACTTGTCCCACCCTAATGGCCTGCCATTAGAGATAGAGATGCAAGTGTTCACAAAGGGAGGCTCACTTTCTGGTGTGGGTGGAGGGCCTGTGCCAGTGTGGCTGTTCCAGGCTCTGAAAGTCAGAACCTGCTCTCTCTGGAGCCAGAGGAGCAACCCCAGGCATTGAAGGGCAGCACCAGTGTGACTTTTCTCCAGGCCAGCCTTCAGGACACAGAGTCAGGGGAAGTGGCCAGCCTTCCCTCCCAGGTGAGCCGCCCAGAGCTGGAGGAGGACTGTGCTGGGCAAGGCAACTCTGGCTACCTAGAAGGCCAGCATTAGCACAGAGGAGCTAGGATCTTCAGCCACTGGAACCAGACAATCTGGAAGTGTCTCCACTTTGAGAAAATTTGTTATTTGAATGTTCGGGGCCAGAAAACGCAAAAATGATCAGGTGGTGGTATCAGAGGAACCCCAGAAATCATGGATTTTTTTTTCTTTTTTTTTTGGTAACTGAAATGGGGGCTTACAACCCAGAACCACAGACACCTTTCCCAGTGTCATTCTGGGAACATGTGGCTGAACACTGTATCCTAGGAAGGCCATCTGACTGCCCCCTCTCAGGGATCTTAGGTGGAGTCAGGAGAAAGAGGACTGCAACAGGCAATTGAGGGAACCTGGGTCTAGGGAAGACATCGACTGGCAACAAGGTGGAACAATCCCAAAGGGTGTGCAAGATGAGGAGGAGGATGGGGTCATGGGATGATGACAATGATGATGATGAGATGATGGGATGATGATGGTGGTAGTGGTGGTGGTGATGGTCAAAGTGGGAGGATGGAATGACGACAGTGATGGTGGTAACGATGGTGGCAGTGGTGATGAGACAGTGGGTGCCAGGCAGTGTGCTAAGCAGGATTCATCCAGCATCTCATTTATTCATATAACACTGTGAGGTAGGCGCTATCATTATCCCCACCTTATAGATAAAGAGTCTGATGCTTGAAGAGGTGGAGTCACTTGCCCAAGATCACAACACGAGGAAGAGGAAGAGTGGATGCTGCTTTTGAGGTGGAAGCAGCCAGGGTACTGCCTGGGCCAACAGCATCATGACAATTCAGACTATTCAAGTGGGTCTGAAAGGCCATCTTCACTCCATCTTTTTCTAGGTACACATTAGGTTGTAAATATCCTGGGGATTACATTTCATAAAGACTTAAGTCCCTGTTTCTGGGCCAGGAGGTTGAGGAGCAGAAAATAATTATGTTGAGGCCTTGGTAATCTTGGTCTTAGCAGAATTAGGTTCCCTCCCTGATAGGGTCTGGCTGTGTCCACACCCAAATATCATCACGAATCATAGTTCCCACAATCCCCACATGTTATGGGAGGGACCCAGTGGGAGTTAATTGAATCATGGGGGTGGTTACCCCCATGCTGCTATTCTTGTGATAGTGAGTGAGTTCTCATGAGATCTGATGGTTTTCTAAGGGGCTTTTCAAATCTTTTGCTTGGCATGTCTCCTTGCTGCCGCCACGTGAAGAAGATGCTTGCTTCCCCTCCCACCATGATTGTAAGTTTCCTGAGGCCTCTCCAGCCATGCTGAACTATGAGTCAATTAAACCCTTTCCTTTATAAATTACCTAGTCTCAGGTATGTCTTTATCAGCAGCATGAGAAAAGACTAATACACTTCTCCTAGTCTTCTGTACACAGAGCCCCAGCCTCACGTACACAGTGCCCGGGTAGGAGTGTACATGTGGAAGGGCCCAGGTGATGCTATTCATCAGCAGTGTCCACCTGAGCCCACACACTCTGGATAGGAAGCCAGTCCAATTAGGCCATGGTTTATCCTGGCCGCTTTCTGATGCTTCACTCTCATCTTCAGGCAGGAAGCTGCCACCCTGAATTCTGCTGGGCCCTGGGATCTCCATTCTAGCAGGTCTTTTTGAAGGATATTTGCTCTGTATGGGTCACCCACTTTTCTCTGGGCAATGTCCCTGATTCACTAAGTGGGTCCCTAGGAACCACATTTGTACTGCATTCCCCCATCCTTGTGACAGCTGAGGGGACAGGGCAATAGCAGTGGTCCAAGCCAGGTAAGCCAGATCTTCTCTCTTGGTGATTAGGAACCAGATTTGAGAGGCTTAAACTGAGGCTCAGTGGCTGGGCAAAACTATCACATGTAAACTTGAGAGCTCTGAGGTATCATCCATCTTCCCCTCTGTGCATTGGGAAGTCCAGAAATCTTGCCTGAGAGAGACTGGGGAGGGGTAAAGCAGATATGCACAGAGAAGGATAGACAGAGATGGAAGGAGTGTCCTGCCCCCTAGCTGCTGACTCTGGAGAAATTGTAGGTATTGAACAGAGAAGCTGTGGGCAGAAATTTCTCAGCAACCATGAAGCAGCAGTAGCTGCCTGGCAGGGCTCAAAAACAAAGTCAAGCAAAAGGCCCTGGCACCTAGAGGCAGAGTGTTCTTTGTGCACTTTTCTCTCTGCAGACTTACCTCAGTCTGCTGGCCGGAACGTCAATTGCCAGACTTTAGTGTCTGCAGCTAAGGCAGTGAGGCAAAAGATCACATATTGGAGGGAAACCCAAAACAGAAGCTGGCAAACTGTCTAACTGGGCTGCCACCCAGAGGACATTGGATGAAGAGGATCCTAATGATCCCTCGACAGGGGTCCTGGGACCTAAGGAGGCCTCAAGCTCTGAGTCATGCACCAAGCTGGGACAGGTGGCCCAGGGCTCAGTGTCTCTGAGTCTCATTCAGGAGAGACAGGCCAAGAGTTCAGAGCACTGAAGCCAGGCGCCTGGCAGCAGGATGAACTCAAGGAAACCAGACTCAAGGGAGGAATGAGAGCCTGGGCTCCTGGCCTCAGCCACAGGTTGGGGGGACAGTGAAGTCCTCTGTGGCAGTCACCCTGAGAATGGCCCTCTTTCTCCTTTACCCTCTTCTGTCTTAGAAGACTCACTTCCTGTACCCATTTGATGTTCCAACCTTCTCCCCACACTTGAAGCATGGCAGCCAAAGGGACCCATCACCTGCAGGATCGCCTCTAGCGCCTGGCCCGACTCTCCCAAAATACTGCAGAGTTTGGGGCTTGAGAGGCAACCTTGTGACATGGTAAACCTGGGCATATGCCAGGGTTCTCTGATCTTCTCAAGGAAGGAAACAAGTGTCTTTTAAAACTCAGTTTTGGGGACAGCAGGCTTAGTGCTCTGTTGCCATGACTCCACTTCCTGGTGCCTCCCTAAGGATGTCAGATAATCCTTCCAGCTAAAACAAACAGGTAAACCTCACATGGACAGAAACTGCATCACCCAACTCCCTGAACACCCTACAGCACCACCCTATAGCACTCTGGGGGCCACTGTCTGCAGCAACCTCTTGGAGGAGCCCTCCCACAGTCCAGTGTCATCCTGAAGGCCAGCAAGTGCTGGCAGAAATTTGCCATCATTCCAGTCCATCCCTCCCTTGATGACTGAATTGCATTTGAGGGCATTTTTCTTCCCCCTACCTACCCTTAGACTCCTGGGTTGCCTTCTTGCTGGTAAGTAGTACCTATCGAGGGAAATTCATAAAAGTCCCCAGTTCAGGCTGGGCACCATGGCTCCTGCCTGTCCTCCTAGCATGCTGGGTAGTAGGAGTAGGAGGATTGCTTGAGACCAGCTGGGGAACACAATGAGCCCCCATCTCTACTGAAAAATGAAAATAAAAAATTTAGTCAGGCATGGTGGCATGCACCTGTACCCAGCTACTTCTAAGGTGGAGACAGCAGGACTGCTTAAGCCTGGGAGATCAAGGCTGCAGAGAACTATGACAGCACCACCGCACTCCAGCCTAGAAAACAAAGTGAGACTCTGCCTCAAAAAAAAAAAAAAAAAGTCCCTAAATCAGTTCCTCAGATGTGCTAGGTCTTCACCATGCCTAGCCTCATCACAGGGCTGAGGAATGGAGGCTCAGAGGTACTGAGAGCTACCCAAGGGCCTGGGAGGATCAGTGGTCCTAACTTCAGGTCCCCTAACATGGCTGGCTGTGCCTTTCACTGTGGAGGTACACTGACAACTCGAGAGAACAGAACCTGCCATGGGGCCCAGCTCTCCTGTACGAGACTCTTACAGATACCACACCCTAGGCCACCTGTTCCAGCCTGGTGCATGACTCACAGCCCACAGCCTCCTCAGGACCCTCCCCGAGGGTCCTCTTCACTAAATGTCCTGGACTACTGCTTAACCATCCCCTTCTCCAGAAGCCACCTCTGAGCCTAGGACCCAATGTAGGTTGACCTGTTGGGGGCTCCCACTGCATCCTGCACAACTGCTTCCCATCCTTTGTGGACCTGGCAGGACTTATTTAAGACTCTGAGCTCTGACCTATTCCCTCACCTCCTTCAGAGCAGGAAGAGGAACAGACTCTTCAGAGAGGGTTGTGCACTATGCCCCCGTAACCCTGCCCCAGCCGCACTTCCCTCTCTCACTAGAGGGGCTTCCTCTCATCCTGGGCCTTCCGAGGACGCCCATCCCCCATTCTTCCCACTACCTGCATTACAGCCCGTGCCTCACACGAGAAGGCCCTTCCATGGAGACTGGTGATTCCGACCAGGGGAGATGGTGGCCAAGTGTTTCGTAATCAACTTTGTGGCACTATCATATTTCAGTTGTTAAAAACTGATTAGTAATCATTACTGATTACGTCTTCTTTTATAAAGTTAAATGTTAATTGTTTTTCTGGGTAGAAAAGAAACATTTACCCATTGTGGAAAATCTGGAGAATACAGGGAAAATAAACTCACTAAATAAACCCACAGCCCAGAAATAGGATGAGTGAGACTCTATTTTCACATGTACATATATGATCGCCTCTGCAATCCATTTTGTTAGTCTTTTTAAAAACATCTAATTTAAAATACTTTAACTCGTAGGCTGATATTCTTGTTTTCATCTTAGTGCCAACACTTGCTTTCCAAATCAGGCAGAAAAAGGCACCTGTTATCCATTACTGCTGCTCCTGATTAAACGCTCCCTTTCCTGTTCGTTTCCAAGGGGCCTGAGGTTGGTTGGATCATCCTGACACAAGCCCACAGCCCTCCTCACCAGGTCATTGAATGCCTCCCCACCTCTCTGGGAAAGCAGAGTGTGCTGGAGGCTCCCCTTCCCTCCTCACCCCTACTCTCCTGGGCATGAGGTGGGGAAAACTGCTGACTAGGGACACTAGGTGCAGTCACAGAGAGGAGCAGGCCCACTCCTGCCCGTGGCCCTCTGGCCCAGGACCACCACCCTGTCCTCATTCTGGGTCTCAAGGGTAGAGGAGGGTCTTTAAGGCAGCCTGGAAGTTCAGAAGTAATTAACACACACCTCCCTGGGTCTCACTGCCCCTCCCTGGCCCCACAGGCCCCGTGACCTTGCCAAGGCTGACACAGGTGAAGAGATAGGATACAGAGCAGAAGAGGGTCCCCTTTGTTCTCTGCACCCTTGTTCCACAGTCCAGTAAGAACAGGCCCATTCCTACTGGGGGCAGTACAGCGGTTCCACAGGCCTCAGCGGGCTCCAGCTCCAGTGTGGGAGCTCTTCATGGCCAGACACTTTGGGGATCCACTGGCCATCTGCAGTCTGAACTCTGGCTACCACCCAAGGAGGAGACATCTACGTGTGTAAACTCAGGGAAGGCAAACTCACCAGATAGGCACATAGGGTCCCACCCCTGGCCAGACAACAGAAACTGCTGCCTGCCTGCTGACAGTGGCATTCATGGTGATGAAGGTGTGCCCTCAACCCGCCAGGGGTGTGTGGTATGGAGGAACTGGCCCTGGGTCTCCCTGCCTTTCACCTTGGTATCTAGCTCTATTTCTCTTCCTAGCCTGGGCAGGCTTATTATCAAGGCTGAGGGGCAGGGGCTGGTGGCAATCTTCGATAGAAGACTGTGGTCCCTAAGCTTCAGAGCTGTGGGTGAAAATGCTGTCTCCCCCACCATGACCAAGCCTCCTCCTCTCCTCTCTTACGCCCTCATTTCTTTGAGTGGGGCCCAGGCTTCCCCTGCACCTCTGGCTCTGGCTCCACAGTCTCTTGTCTGCTCAAGCAGCGTAACATGCAGAGAAAGCTGTGTTCTTACAGCATCTTTCCATAAAGAGGAGGAGAGGCTCTTTCAGGGCAGGTGCTGGCCTTTGGGCCCAGGCAGGCTGACAGTCTTCCCAGGAAGGGAGAATCTGCTTCCCATTATAGAGTAGGAGGATTTGGCCTGGGGGAAGAGCTGGGAGTGGAGGGAGGACCTGGAAGAGCTAAGGATTGGGCCCATGAAGATCAGGAATAGAGAAGACCCAGGTAAGAGCATGAAGGTGAGTAACTGAAAGAAAAGAGCCACATGTAATGAAGATTTTCAAGCTGTAAGAGGTAAATCTTCCCCTCCAACTCTCCCATGGACTTTCCAGGAAGGCCCAGAATGCTCCTGTGCATTTGTGAGTGTGGATTACTTCACGGAATGTAAGAGGCAGTGCAGGATGGGGATAGAGGCCGTGGCCAAGGGACCTGGGTCTTGCTTGGGGTCATTAAGACTGCACGGAGCCTGGGTCTTGACTGGAGGCCCACTGGCATCCTCCAAAGCAGGTGGCCTCCTGCTCCCCTCAGCAAGGTGGGGCTGGGCCAAGAGCCATCCTCAGAGGGTGAGAAACAGGACATCCTCCCTGCAGGGCTGTTTCCAGGCTGCTGGAGGTGGGGCCAGGCATCTGCACCAGCCATGAGACCATCCCAAAATCACTTACTCTAGATATTCAGATGGATAGTGATCTAAATGCTGTGAAATGTTGTGGCCCACAGCGATGATGATGGCATTGCAACCAGCATCGTCTCCCTGGGACAAGGAATTCTCTCTCGCCATCCTCCTTCCTAGTAGCTCTAATCTCAGTCATGAGGACTTAGCAGGAACTATAGCTGCTATACCCTCAGTTAGTAGTGTGGTGTCTGGCAGGGAGCAGTTGCTTAACAGCTACTGAATGAATAAGTGAGTCAATGAAGGAATGAGCAAGTGAAAGAATGAATGAATGAAAGACAGGTTCAGGTCTAATTGCTCTTCAGGATCTGTGACTGTTTGCCATTTGATGTCTTCTCATTGGCCTGAGGCCAGGGGAGGTACTGCTTGCCTGTAAGCCATCTCCCTTAGGGTGTCCCCAGGAGTCCCCTGACTGGTGCTGAGAGTTCTGGAGTCTGCCCTTGTGCCTGTCTGGTTCTCCTCGCCATCGCTGGGGTGGCTCCCAGTGAAAGCTACTGGCCCATTTGCCTGAGCAACCCAGATGGGTGGAGAGGGAGAAGAGAGAGCCTCTGAGGGCTGGCACATCGTCACTCCCCCGCCATCCCCCATCTTGGGTTTCACAGGCAGACAGACTGACTGTCCTATATGGCGCAGTCCCCGTATCTGGCCGAGGTGTGGAGCAGTGATGAAGAGGTCCCTCAGTGGTCAGGAGGCTGTTGGGTGTGGCTCAGCTCTGTTCATATCAGAGTGTGGAGTGGGTAAGTCATTTCATCTCTCTGAGCCTTGTTTTTCACATGTATAAAATGGGGACACTATGAATGGCTGCTGTGCAGAATTCAGTATGTCTGTGCATGCAAAGCACCAAGACAGTGCTTGGCACAGGCCATGCTCAACCAAGAGCACTGACCAGCAGACAGCTCCTCTGCCCTGGGAGGAGTTGCTAGGCAGCACCTATCTTCTCTGTGGTCAACTTAGAATTATGGGCACCGAGGAGAGAAGCTTCAGCTCCAGAAGAGGAGTGGTGTGTGCATGTGTGTGCATGTGTTTACACACACACGTATGTTTGTGCACAAAAATGTGTGCGTGTACATGCATGCATATGTGCATGTGTGAAAGTATATACACCCACGTGTGACAGTGATTATATGAATGTGTATACAAGCACTTGTGTACGTGTCTGTGTATGTGTGAGACTGCATGTAATAGGCGAGTGCAAGTGTACAGTGTGTGCCTGGGTATATGTGAGTGTGTAAGGTGTGTGTACCTGTGAGTGTGTCACTGTGAGTGTGCATGTATGCCCAGGGCCCTGCATTCTGGTGCAAACCTGCCTTTCCTGGACATTCTGTGTCATTGGATGTTTCCCACCTCCCATTAGACCTTTAGTCACCATGATGCCCTTCACCCCTGGTGGTGCCATGGCTGTGAGGGCACCCCCTTCACAGCATCTCCTGCCTTACTAGAGACCACCTGGCACCTGGCACAGGAAAACACCAGTACATGGAGTATGTGCAATGGGAATTCCTGAGCAAGAGGCCTGGGGCCCTGGCATACAGGCTCTCCCGGGGAGCCAAACCCTGGGCTGAGGGAGCCTCAAAGGAGGCAGAGGCTGTGGCCGCTTTCCTGTCACCAGTGCCTAGCAGGGTGGGGGTCAATAAATACCCAAGGCCTGAGGCCATTTGGGTGCAATATTCTCAGACCCCACCAGGCGGAGCCACATGCCCATCTCAAGACCAGACCACTTCTTAGGCTTCCATTTTCAAGAACCCATATTTTGGGCCAAATCTACTCCCAGGCCTTCTGCAGCTGTACTGGAGGAAGACCTTCCTGGACCAGAGGAGGCGTGGGGCTGCTCAGAGTATGGGGGCTGGGGACCCGACACCCATCCTGCTCTTCCATCCTCCCTCCTAGTTGGCCCTGCCCCAGCGAGGGGGCTGGAGGAGCCACAGAGCAGCCTCACAGAGGCCAGCATGCGGTGGGTGGGACAGGGCCTGTCTCCAGCTCCCTTGGCCCTGAGCACCTCCCCAGGGAGGGAGGCCATGCTGAGGCCACACTCACCTTTCCAGCCCTGAAGACATCTCTTCACTAAACTCTGAGCTCTCACTACTGCCTGGAAAAGGAACACAGGTCAATGAGCACAATGGCCTCACAGAAGAGGGGCCCGTTCTCCTGGGTCACTGGGCCCAGGCCCCTGAGCTCACAGAAGTGCCACAGAAACTGCTTCCTGACGCTGGAAGCCTCAATGTACTTGAGTTTTTGCTGCTGCTAGTTCTAACTCGGCTCTGAGAGGGTCAAAGAACCACCTCCCTCCCCGCACCATCCCACTGTTCCAGGCAGATCCTCTACTACCTTCCTGATGCCCTGAGGGCTGCAGCTACCTGCCCACTGGCTCATTGAGGTCTGGGTCCTCTGGCTTTCTTCTGGGCCTGACCTGACTCTACCACTGCCTCCCTCTGGCCCAAGTGAAGCCAGGACTAGAATAGGCCTCACCTGGTAAGGCCAAATGAGTACCTCTTCCCCAAGGGTCACAGCGTAGCTACCTGGCATTAGACAGAAGCCTTGAGGTAGAGCCCCTGCAGACCCCTGGCCAGTGAAGTCACAGAGAGGGGCTGGGCCCCACAGCTTTGCTACCTATTTCTCCTTCAGGCCTGTCCCTCTGGGCTGAGTGGGTGACCCTGTTTCTCCTGGGCTCTCTAAGACCTCTCCAAGGAGAGATTTTCTCCTGTCACCCAAGCATCCATGCACGATGCTTCTGGACTGTGCCTTGATGCTTGGGTGACAGGAGAAAATCTGAGGCTCTGAGGTTCGGTGGTCTTTGCCCGAAAGAGCAACAAGGCCAAGCACTGGGAAAGGGGAAGGCAGGGGATCCCAGGCCCCTTGGCATCTGTCTGAGTAATGGCCCTCATCACAGAGGGGAGGACCAGCCCAGCTCTCAACAGGGCACATGCACACATGGCCACTTACCCAGGGCTTTGGGCCCAAAAAGAAAAAGTTTCAATTCCCCAACTTGAGGAGGCGGGAACCAAACAACCTTGTGATTCCCCCGTCTGGATGCTGGACAGCTCTGCATCTGACTCCGTTTTCGGTCTCAGGAATAGCAAGGCCTGGACTCGGGCAGCTCAGAAAGTTTTCTGGATATAAAACAGCTGTTCTGCTGCCCAGCTGAGTGCCACTGGGCCGGCATTTCCCAGAGGGCATTCCTCAGAACTCAGGTCCCATCGGACACTCCAAGGAAAATGGTTCCATGACCAAAGAATGTGGGACCTGTGGACTCTGATGCCTTCTTAGAGGACTCTTCCCCACCACCAGCAGAGCTGCGTCTCTGGGAAGAAACCTGCATACCTTTGCTCAACCCAGCCTTTCCCCACACATAGAACCTGGAACTCTTCTCCCAAGGCACCTTGGAACCCTGGACGCACTGTCCTGAGCCGTTGTATAACCCTGACTGACTCCAAACAGGATGATCTCCTCTGAGGACAGAGGCAGACACAGAACTTGCTTGTCAGACTTCCAGGGCGTGGGAGACAGCGACCCCTGGACTGATACTGCCCACACCCTCTGAGACTAACTTGCTTTCATAGGGATGTGGGAGTGATTCCTGCCTCTTTCTCCTGTTCACCCCCACCCGCCCCTCACCCCCCATGCTCTGGGCCTTCTGCCCTGCAGTCTTCACAAAATCAACTCCTAGCTCGGCAACTGGTCGAATCACCAGCCCTGGGAGGACTTCCTGCTAAGGGAAGCCAACAGACACAGACACACAGACCACGGAGTCACAGGCACACTGAAAGGCAACAGCCATCAGAGAAGAGCACTGGCCTAATGGCAGTAATGACAGGGTGGTGCCACTTGTCCTCAGCTGACCTGGACACTGCAGGGGGACGGACCTACAAGCAGAGCTCAACACCAGCCCTGAGTCCTAACGTCAAGTTCGTCCTATCCCAGCCTCAGCAGCACAATTTCTGTCTCTTCTATTGCCATAAGCATCATGTCTGGCTGACAGTGATACAATTTCATCCATGAACATCAATTTTTTATTCTCCCTCCTTCTAGCTACCCAGTGTGAAGACAAGTACGCAGAGAGAACCCAGTGGCCCACCCAGCTACCCTCCCTGGCAGCCTCTCCTGCTTTGCCCTGTAGGGCCCTATGGGTCATGATCCCTCAGGGACAGAAGCCTGACTGTGGTCCAGTCTGGTGTGGGGAGCTGCCAGCCAAGGGCAGCTGGTCTCAGGGATGTGTCTGGCTGCTGCTTCTAGCTGCCTGCCATGCCACCAGTAGGCTGAGGACAGATCCAGGGTTCTTCATGACGCCCATGAGACTAGGAGACAAGGTTTCCCTGGCTCTGGGCAATTCCTGCAGGCAGCCACCTCTGCATAGAGGTGAGGGGCCACTGGGTCCCCCAGAATGATAGCGCCACTGGGCATGGCACAGTGACACAGAGACAGACATGGAGCACACGCTGGGCCTACAGCCCAACAGCCTATCATGTGCAGGCCGGAGACGCTTACCTAGGGAGAGTCCATTGGTGACAGCAGAGGAGGAGGTCAGGGCCAGGCCCCTTCGGGGGCTGCGGGACTCTAGGACACTGTCGTCCAGTAGGTGCCTTGCTTTCTCCGATGGGAATGTCGCACTTTTACTCTCAACTACACTCAACTGACACATCATACTGGAAATGGAAAGGAAGAAAGAAGGCAAAGCTCCTTATCTATGGAGTGACAGTGGTTACATCTGCCTGGGGCCGGAGCAGATGGTGCAGCTGCAGGAAAAAGGCCTCTACCCAGAGCCACAGTACAGCCCAGGCTCTGTCCTCTCTCACGGCATGACCTTGGGCAAGTCACATCCTTTCTCTGAGCCTCAGTTTCTCCATCCATCCAGTGGGGATAATGATACTTGCCCTGCCTGTCTCCCAGGTGGCTAGGAGGCTCAAGTGAGCAGATGCTGCTTGTGAGTGATGAGGCACAGATGAGGGGCAATGGGCCTGTGGCCAGGGTGTCTAGTCCTGGAGTCACACACACCTGGTCCAGACCCTCGCTCTGATGTTTTTCCACCATTGCAAGGAACTTCACCTTGTTGAACCTCATTAGACTCATTCTCAAAATATGTCATAATAGCACCCACCTCAGAGGCCTGCATGGGGACTCAGGGAGATCATGTTTGACAGGTATGTGCAAAGTATCTAGCACAGAAGGCTGTGGAACAATGAGAAAGCAACTCTTTCTCCTTCAGCCTTGGAGCTCCTCCAGGGCCTGCCTGGGCTTGGCTGAGGCTTGTGCCTTAGAAGTGGTAGATAGGTGGGTGGGTGGGTAGGTAGGTAGGTAGATAGGTAGGTAGGAAGGAAGAAGGGAGGGAAAGAAGGTAGGAAAAAAGGAAGGAAGGGACTCATCTGTTCGGAAGCCTGTGCCTCATGCCCTGGAGACACAGGCATAGTTGCCCCAGCCATGCTGAGGACTCACGCGTGTCCCCGGCTGTGGGCCTCACAGGGCTGAGTGAGCCAGCAGGATCACTGCTCTATAGGCAGATGCCATGAAAAACTGAACACTGCCCTGGATGACAGTCACTGGTGTCCACTGGACTTTGGGGTTCTCCATGAGTCACTAACTGGGTTTGGGCAAATTCTCTGGAATGCCACTGCTACTTCCCTGCTCTTCCCTGCACCCTTCCTCCATTAGCTGCTCAGCCTGAGACACCTGTCGGTGGTATGGAGTCAGTGCTGCCACAGTGCCCCTCAGCTCTTCCTGAGCCCCCACCAGCCTCAGGAAAGCACACTGGCCAGGATTCCAAGAGCTCTCATCAGCAACTTCCAGAACAGGGCAGGGGAGGGACCCAGCCAGCAAGTGTTTCCCTGCACTGTGTCCAGGCCCATGTGCAGGAAAGTGTGAAGCCCTGAGGGAGGGCTTGCCCAATCACCCACTTGTTGCCTAGGCTGTGGCTCTTCCTGTGTCTGGGGACTGGAGGTGTGGGGAGGCTGCCGGCAACAGATGTATCAGGACAGGTGGGCCTCCGGCTGAACCTTGCAGAACCAGAGCCAGCAGAGGGACCTGCGAACAGAGCAGAGAGCAATGACAGGGGTTATGATGGGATGGAGGGGCTGTGCAGCCTGGGTTGGGGTGTGGAGGTGGGCCCTGGGTTTGGAGTAAGGCAACTGGCCCAGCAGTCATAGGTGGGGCAAGGTTCATATGAGCCCTGTAGCTTCTTACTTATTAGATATTGATTCTTCCCTCTCCCAGTAGTAATTGTCAATAGCAACTGACTCCCAAGGCCGACAACCAACTCTCAGGATGGCCAGTGTCCTACTGTGCATGGCACCCACTGGCTGAAGGGAGGGCACTATGGATGGACATGGGGATAAGCAGCCTAGTCCTGGCCCTGCTTCCCCATGTCAAGGACACCGAGCTGGTGAACGACAAAGGTGAGACTTAAAAGTGCGTCTTCTAACACCAAATCTGTTCCCTTACCCCTGAGCCCTTATATAGCCACTTTCTGGTCTCTGTGTACTCATTTAACAAAAAGGGGCAAGAGCACAGCTAGACAGATAGGGTTCAGATCTCAGGTCTTTCATTTACTACCTGGGACCATGGATAGGTTATTGAACTTATCCCGAGTGCCAGTTTCCTCATCTGAAAAGTGGAAATAATTCAACTCACCTTGCAGGTGGTTGGAAGAAGTCCATGAGGTAATGTATGCAGACTTTCATAGTTAGCCCTCGTACTTAATTTATTATGGTAATTATCACCATGTCCTTCTCAACCCAGTCATGGGGGTCATCAGAGCCAGGGAGTTGGGGTGCAAGCCTCACTGTGCACAATACACAGAGACCGAGGCTGAATCCTTCATGCTGGCCACGTCTTCCACTACGACGTCAGGAGGAATGTGACCCTGGCCACTGTGGCACTCTTTAGTTTCTGTGGCTTGGAAAGGGAGGTCTTTAAGGGAGGTGACTCCAGAGGCTTGCCTAGCTCTGGCTATCTGGGCCAGGCACTGGGACTCAGCTGCTTCCTGCAGAGCACATCAAAAGCAGAGCAGATCAAGAGGCCAAGGGGGCGGCCGCCTGGCCACAGCTGGAGAACTTCCCTGGGGACCCATAAAGTCCAAGCCCTCACAGAACTCTACCACAAGGCCCTACAGACCCACCAGTGGCCTACAGGTTCCCATGTCCTCCAGCCTGCTTGGGTCATTCTTATTTTAATGTCGAAAATAATGATCCACGCCCCTAGCCTATATACTGTGGGAAGTCTGGCCCCGTCTGACATTCTGGTGGATTCAGGAGGCGGGGGCATCACCTCCAGTTCTGAACTCCTGCTGCCAGCTGAGTGTTTACTTCCAGTAAGTTGTCTCCTCTGCTGTTCCCCCTCCTTCCCAGCCCCACTCTGCACAGGTACCTTCTTCACTTCCCTCTGCCAATCCCTTTATTAGGCCTTAGCCAACTTTCTTGTTCTCAGTAACAGTCTAAAATGTCCCTTCTTTCCTTAGGGCCCCCAGGCAACTCCTAGACTCCAACCCTTTCAAATGCTGCCACTCTTTACTTCAGTGAGAAAACTGGTTGTCAGGTGGGATCTCTCACAGCCACCCTTGCAGCGGCCATGCACACCTCCATTCACACTGGCCTTCCTGCCAGGCCCGGGCCCATCTCTCCCCTTAGGTCCTACCCATCTGAGAATTCTCTGCCTCACTTTCCCCTTCTCCTCTCTCTGGCTCCTTCCCCCAGCCTATAGGCAAGCTCTAGTCTCTCTTTTCCTGTATACCAAGGTCCTTCACTGGATCTTTTCCCAGCAAATGGAGGTCTGTGCTCCTCCAGTCACTCAGCTCTGACTTCTGTACCTAAAGACACATCCACTAACCTCCTTCTTGCCAAACCAATGAAGGCTCGCCAGCCTCCTCCCAGAGCCCTTGGCACCTGGCGCCACTCCTTCTCAAAATGCCCTCCTTCTGTGGCAGGTGCTATACCACACACTCTCCTGCTTCTCCTGTGCCTCTTCAATCTCTGTCACCACCTCCTCCGTGAGCTCCTCCTCCTCTAACACCCCTCATGCTGGAGTTGTCCACAGGCCTCCCTCTATGGTTCCTGCTTTTTATTTGATTAGATAGCTGATGACTCTTAAATCTTGACTACAGTCCTATTTTTTTCTTTTCTTTTGAGACAGGGTCTGGCTCTGTCACCCAGGCTGGAGTGCAGTGATGCTATCACGGCTCACTGCAGCCTCGATATCCCCAGCTCAGATGGCTCAAACAAACCTCTCACCTCAGCCTTCTGAGTAGTTGGGACCACAGGAGGGTGCCACCTGGCCTGGCCCAGTCCTCTTTTCTGAGCTTGAGACCCATATATCCACCTCTTGGCACTATCCCTCCATCTGCCCTTTCCTAAGATGCCCCAAGTACAGCACAGCTGAGGCTGAGCCTGCAACTCCTTCTCCTGTTTCCAGTCTTGGCAGGAGGCACTGTGGTTACCCAGTCGCCTAGCCTGGAATGGGGGGCCACCCTCGGCTCCTCCCACACAGCAACTTGCCTCTTCTCTCCTCTCTTCCCCTCCTCACTTGCTGCAGTCACCAGGGCCTCCAGGCTCTGCACAGTGCCCCCTTGCCCTCCTCTCTTGTCCCTGAGTGGTCTGGGCCCCCACACTTTATTGTCTTCCTGCCTCCAGTATGATGTTCTAAAATCTAACCCAAGCACAGCCTCACAAGTATTTGAAAAATGTGAAGCTGACCATGCCACCGCCTTGCCTGAAACCGTCCATGACATGGTGTTCAAAGTTCTTCCTGACCTGGCCATTTAAGCTGATCTTAAAATCCTGATGGAAAAGAGATGAGACAAAGTAGTCAAGACTTGCCCTACTGGAATGCAGAACAAAGCCTAAACAGTAATATTCAAACAGTTTGGTATTGGGCATGGATGCAGACGCAGTTCAGTGAATACAAAGTGAGAGCCCAACCTGCCTCCTGACGGTGGCGGCATTACCAGTCAGTGAGGAAGGAAAGGAGGAACTTTACAGTATGAGGGGCAAGACCACTGGGTTCCATGTGGAAAAAGACAAAATTAGAGTCCTGCCTTATGTTAAGCAGGTGGATTAATGTCACAAATGTGAAAAGCAAAACTACTGGGAAAAAAATAGGACATAATCATTATAATCTTGGGGAAAGGGAAGAAAGAACAAACACAAATTCTAAAGGAAAAGATGAATAAATCTGACAACATTTAAATGAAACATGTCTGTGCCGAAACAACCAACCAAAAAAGACATCAAAATCAATGTTAAAGATGAGTCGTAGTCTGGGAGAAGGTATATGTCATCCCTAAACCAACACAGGATTAACTTTCAGATGTACAAAGAACTTCAAATATCTGTTAAGAAAGGCCAAACCACACACAGACAACAAGCAAAAGATACGAAAGGCAAATTCACGGAACAGAATCTCCAAATGGCCAGTAAGAATAAGGAAAGATGCTGAACCCCACTGGTAATAATGGAAATGCAAATGAGAGTAAAAGGAGATCTCTTTTTATTTCAACAGATGGTAAAACAAAACAAAAAAAAATGTAGCCTGACAATGTCTTGCATTGGCAGATGTAGAGGAATAGGAACTCTAGTTTGGGGCTTATATGAATGTAAAATATTTGGAAAGCAATGAGCAATGCTGAATAAAGGAAGATGCCCTGCCTTTTATATCTGGTGATTCTAATTTAGGTATTTACTCTAGAGAAACTCTTGCATATATACAGGAGGTGCCACATATACAAGGATGATCAAGGTAGCACCCTGCATCATTGCAAAAAAGTAGAAGCAATCTACACGCCCCTCAGTAGGGAAATAGATAAATGAGCTGTGGTTTATTCACTAAACAATTCTACAAAGAGAAGAAACTTCATCTACAGGTATAAATATAGATAAATCATAAAAACTTTCGTTTCAGCCTGGGCAACATAGTGAAATCCCATCTCTACAAAACAGACAAAACTTAGCCCAGCATGGTGGTGTGCACCTACAGTCCCAGCTACTCAGGAGGCTGAGGTGGGAGGACTGTTTGAGCCCAGGAGGTGGAGGCTGCAGTGAGCTGATATCACGTGAGTACATTCCAGCTGGCAAAATGTTAACTGCTGTTAAATACAGATGGTGGGGGATGTTCGGTATCATCTATGCATTAACAATTTCATTATTTAAAGTAAAACTACTTTAAAAATAGTGGCCACCTATTCTATGCCAGGTGCTGTTGCTGTGTTGGAATCTTCCATCTGTTCCTCCAGATTTGTCCTCCACCCTTCTTCACTCTGTGCCATGGACCAGGGGGTTGCACGTGGGGCTAGGTCAGGGGGGCTCCCTGGCCCCCTCTGTTTCCTCACTGGGTTAGGCTGATGGGGAGCAGACTGGGGCACTGCCTCCTCTGGCTCTCTCCCTATGGGGTCACTCCTGAGAGGTGGCAGTCTGTTTCTATCCCTGGGGTACTGAGCTGTCCTTTGGGGTTCCCCTACACTCTGCCCACATCTTTGTGAATAGCCCCATTGTGAAATTCTCCTTCAACCACCCAACTTGAGTGTGTCATTTGTGTCTGCCTTGACCCTGCAGTGCCTTCACATTTAATCCACATGGCTCTCCTCTGAGGTACTATTGGCGTTAACATGCAAATAGAGTAGTGGAAGCTCAGTGGGTAGGCATCAAGCATGCGTCCAGGAACTGGCTGGCGATGGGGTTAGGTTCACGTCTAGGCCTCATGAGTGTACAGAGTGGATACCTGGGACCACTTGCCCAGGACCTTCTCAGGAAGCACCTTCTCCTCCCACTGATGGAGACAGGGGAGGCAATGCCAGTCCAATGCAGCCTTGCCTCTGGCCCCAGCTGATGGGTCTACGAGTGGACGCCTTCCCCAGGATTTTTGGATTTGAGCCTAGAAAGCATTTGAGGACAATCTCTGTTTGATTAATGAGAAATAAAACCTAGATACTATGGATGGCCACGTTTCCCTGCTTGTGATGAGGAATCTGATCTGTGGTGACAGAAAAAGAAAGTAACCTCACTGAGTAAGGCCACAAAGTGAGGTGGAAGGGAGTT